TTCCATCAACAAATCTAGGGAGTCTTCAGTGATGTTGTGAACCAGCTGCTTCTAAAACCAAGCGCCTGGTTGGGGACAGTTCCTGAAAATGCCACGACAACTAAACCGTTATCCGGTAACAGGTAATGCTCGCACATGGTTACCGTGTCTCTATCATACCAACGACGAGCTAGCATCCCTGCATTTACACATTTTCCCGTTACCTTCATTATACATGAGTAAGCCATCTCATTTTAAGTTAATAGTGACCATTATTCATGTGATCACTGTTTATGAAGGTAATTGGGTTATTTTAAACTTGGAACTTATTTTCCTACTTTTTTTACTATCATGTATATTTTAAGTTTTCACACTCGATTTGCTCGGAGCCCTGCTCTCTAATACACAACCACCAGGCCAACACTATCACAACTAGCTGAACTCAAGATGTGACTTAACACATATCCTTTTAACACTGTAAGAGTGGGCGTTGTGCCATCACATGCAAGGACACTGATTATGTTTCCCAAGCACCATCTAGCACTAACTTATGTTGTTTTTCAGAGTCCTGGTGTGAGTCTGTGTTTCAGCTTTTTTTATATTTATTTTTACAATCTGCTCTATGTTGCTGGGCCTTCTCGGCTACTTCAAGGACATTTAAATTAATACTTTTATAAAGACGTTAGTGGGGCTTCTTCATTATGAACAACTGACACTAAATTCAACAGAAAAAAGTCTGAACCATAAAACTAGCAAACTAAGCACATGTTCGTCCTGACTTTGAACTTTGCTGTTCTTGTCCTTTGGAACGGTGTTTACACGGTAACACTTCTGGTCACATCAAATCTGCTGTCTTAAATAAAAGTTTATCAGCAGTAGCCAATTACAATAACTTCCACTGTAACATCCATTGCTACTGTTTTTACAGAGGTATCTGTCATTTGAATTTACGTGGTTGCATTTCCCAATTGTGTGCAATGTTGCAAACTAGTAGTATTCCTCTTTTGCATCAACGGGAAGAAGACGTCCTTTATTCAGATATTCCAGGTATCAACAGAAGATTTTATCTCCACCTTGAGTCTTAGTTATTGGCACACAGTCAAAAGTATTCCAAGTACTTCATTAGCAACCCTGGTGGCACAAAGTATGACTACATGATCTGAATTGATACACATAACCCATGCCATTTCAATTTTAAGAAATGAAAATATCAATAACTAGATAACTTTGTCCAGATGTTTCAATTTTCAAGGATTACATAACCTTCCAACCTACAAGTCAGCGTCACTTCCCTGCAGCTGCATAGTACACGCACTTCCATTCTAGCAGATTACCATTTTTTCCATTTGATTTAGCTTCCTAATTATGTAGAAATGTCAATTTTATGTACCCGAAGTTTGATGTTAGTGGGAAGAACAAGCTCAAACTTGCCAATTACTTTAAAATACAAGGCATTCAAACTGTGGCGTCCAATAAATGATTACTCAAAAGAAAACTGATCGAACTGAGTCACATGTAACACAGTTTACAGGCTTAAAAATTGCGTCTAATGTCAACACTGCATGAAAATATTGAGACGGTGCCCTTATGAAGCAAATCAACAGTTATTGCAACATAAATATAGTACTCCCGTTTTATACTTATTAGCCATGTCCACATATCCCTGTTGACTTAATTCAAAAGTCCTCTGACATGTAAGAAGTGGAAAAACAAACCTCTGGAAGAGTGGCGAATAAAACTGATTTTGATTAAATGATTTTAAAATCCAATATAAGTAAAGATTTCTTTTGATATTTGAAAATAGTTTTTAATTATACGGCCGTCTGTTGTGTTTTGTACTGCTAATGTTGGAACTTCTGCAACTTATTCCTGAAATTAGTTAACACTCAAAATCAGTACAACATGACCGCAGTACAGTACTTCAACAGTCTACTACCTTCAAAGGACATTAAAAAACATAACTATTGATACTGCAATATACGCATGTTTCCAACATCAGACTGCAGTGAGGGTATAAATATTTAATTTTCATTTTGGTTCACCTGCTGGAGGTGAAGCTGGCCCTGTGTCTGTGAGAGCTGAAGGCATTTCAACCTCTATAGTAACTGACTAAATATAATAGTCATGATGGTAAATTGGTGGCAGCTTTGTTGAAAAAAGGATTATACCATTTCCATCATACCTCTGGCTGCCACAACTGTTTGACAAAGTCCTTTGGCTGCTGATGCCTCATAAATCTCTAGGAATTAATTGACACTGGCAATCACACTATAAGTAACGTCCTGTAATTTAGTAAGCACTGTGACTTAGAACATGTGCTCTTTGACATTATTTATCAGTTTTAAAAAGGCAGCAAAATAAGAGAACATTTAAGATTAGGATTCAATTATGGCACTTTAACCTAACCATCTTCAATGTATTTCATGACTTAACGCCAGACTTCAAGGAAAGTACAGACATTTTTGATATTATATGTGTTATAATACTAACCTCTCACTGAGAAACTGAAGCTAAATCACGCAGGAACAAGGCTGCTTGCAGAATATCAAATTTCTTCTGCATTTTAATATTTTCAAGTGTTGAGCACTTCAAAACGTGGCGGGCTAATGAATTCAAACTGCGAAAGTGTAGACCGTGAAGCTATGCTAAAAAGTCCCATTCAATGTACAACAATTTCTAACTTTTAACAACCGGAACAATGCTAAATTGTTTGGTCGTAAAGACGGCTAACATATATAACACATGAACCAGCTCAAGTTGACATTAGCTAACGTTACCGTCAGTGGTTGCGAGCTACATTAGCACACTGTTCGTCTTTCAAGCTAAATACAGCAGGTCGATGTTTGGGGAAGTTAATATAAATTAATCGTTACAACAGTATTTGCCCCACAATATCATATTTCTGTTGCATAACAGATATGTGTTAGCTAGCATGCTACCTAACCTAGCACACGGTAAGCGTTGAGAAAAGGCCTTCGTTTGTAGGTTCAAATGACACCAGATATGATGGCGGAGGGGGCGGAGTGTTGGGATCAGACTCCCCGGCCTGCTCCGCCAATGTGCGGACGACCACCGCCACTCTGCTGTCGGTGATAAGCTGGCGCTATTGCGATGTAAACAAAACAATGACACAAACAACTGAGTTTTACCCGTACGAGGGCTTAGTGCAAACGCTTTTCACAAGAAAAGACAAGCTCAAACCATTCGAGCTGCAGCAGCCGAGGTTAGCCTGTTAGCTCACGTTAGCCAGCTAGCTAGCTAGCTAGCTAAAAGACAAGCTGCAAAGAGGAACCATCGCTTACCTTCACTGTTTATAGCTACCAGACTTGTTGTCTGCACGGTGTGTCTACAGCCAATATATCGTATGCATTGGTCTCTTTAAACACTGTAAACGTATTCATTCGACAGAATCGTAATTTCAGAAAGTCGCGCTCTGTGTTTTATTTATTATTTTTCCCCTCTCCTCCAACGGTCGCAGCTGCGTATCAGTATGTGTCTGCTGGCTCCTGTAGTCGCTGCTCTTGTTGTTTGTGTTTCGGAAACATGGCCGTCCGTGTGATACCACGTGACTGGGCACTGACAAGCGGCTAACCAATGTTGTAGCAGAGCAAACACACCCCTATTTACCAGCCTGGTTGTGTGCCGCACTTTGCAACGGCGTGAGTGTTCATCAGCAGACCTTTAGGTAGCTGGCGTGAGATTGTGACGTTATCGAAGGCAAACATATAGCTCTCAGACGAGCGAGGCAGCAACTTGTAACGCTAGTCCCACAATAACGAGGTCAACTTATTACAAACTTGTTCCATTAACGTTTGAGTCAGAAGCAGCATTTCTAAAATGCATAACGAGATATTTTCAGTTATTAGCTATCAATACCCTTGATAATTAACGGAATGAATAGCATGTTGAGTGGCAGTGTCGAAATAAGCATGTGCAGTACGTTTGTGGAAGGCAGTAGAGGGTGAAGTCAGCAGGTGGCGCTGTTGAATAACAGTACAGCACTATATAAATATACATCAGTAAATGATTTTGGACATTTGCATATAGCCTGCTACTTTGAATCGGTCCATTCAAAACCAGATTAAACAGTGGATGGTATATCATCAACCTGAAGTCAACTCATATTGTTTATATGTGTAAAGTTAAGGTGCTAGGTGCAATAAACACTAAATACTCCATCCTGGTGTTATGACAAAGGTTAGAGGGGTCCTCCACAGTGTGGGCCCTCCTCAGGTGAAACAGCAGGTCCTGGATTTCAGGCTGTCGCGGGATGAGTACAGATCCAGGATATCAGCCTTCATCCTGTACGGGGTGCGCTCTGGACAAGTGCTACCTCTCAGCCCAGGGGCGCACTTGTAGGAGAGGTATTCGTTGTTTGATTCATGGACGAAACCAAGAGGTCATTGGCTCAGTCATACCAGTAATTATCTTATTATCTTCATACTACACCTCAGGGGAAGCTCGACCGTGCCCAGGTACAAGTCTTTGTTCCACTGTGGGTTGTTGTTGAAGATGACCTTGGCCTGGAGGGTCTGCTTACCCATTAAGACGCTCACAAAGCCATCCATCTGGGAGAAGTGTTTAATTAGAGCATTATCTTTAACCGGCTGGTAGTGGGTAGCGCAGGCTAGAGCTGATAACTTTGGGTTTGATTCTCAGACTTTACTTACAGTTACTGAAGGCAGTGGGTTTGGCCTTGGCAGAGAACAGGAGGTCTGTTGTATAACCCGAGTTAACCTCTGCTTGAATTTACTGCTACTACTTGCAGAAAGTCTATGGGATTAAATGTGGGCTAGAACTACACTTTTAAAGCCCCATGGAAATGTTGCTTTAAATCTTTCGTATTTCTCTATTACATAAAATTTTCATGACTAAATTAGCAACAATAAAGTAAAAAAAAAAGGTCTGTGTAATAAATGTTATCTAAAAATCATTTTAAATACTTTGCAGAACACAGAAATCTATTTTATTTCGGACGGCCATTCTTGGTTAATGAAGCTGAACTTGTCCTTGCTTGAACTGTTCAAGTCTAGGTTCAGCTGGGCGCCTGTGGTTTCAGGCGCCTTATGTCCTCCACAGTATCATAAAATGTCTAATGTTATAGAACCATTGAGTATACTCATATTCAACAGGATCATGCAGTGCAAAGGCAAAGTAAGATCTACAATGGAAAGCAATGTACAGTGTATAATACATAAAGATGTGAAGAGAGTGAATTTATGAGACAAGTTGCAACATGTGCACAGCCTGACAGAAGCCTGTGTAACAGATGCATGGCTGCACAGACATTGGAGGAGCAGATAAGTCAACTATCCAGCCAATGGATCCACTCTGAGCTGCTGCTGCCGCTTTGCATACTGAGCCTCTGTCCAGCAGTCATTACTCTTTACTCGATTATGACGGCAACACCAACACAGGATGCCATATTAAACAGAACATTCCTCATCACCACATGGGATTTCTTCATGGTGGTGTGAAACAGGACGTGTCAAACGCCAGACGATGACGAAATTCCCTGGTTTCGTATTGTTTTTATTTGCTCCAGTTGTGTGATGTTGCATCTGTTTTGCACCTGCCTCCTATCCTTCTCCTTGCTGATGGCGTCCTCCCAGGTGAGTGCCAGTGTGACAAACAGCTTCAAAGACTGCAGCCAATTTTTCTACATGCATACCCCACCTGCAGGGGTGAAGGGGACCAGCCTGAGGAGGATCTGCCAGAAGTATGCAGACAAGCTGCGCTATGCCACGTTGTATGACAGCAGTCGCCGCCTCCCTCTCTACTCGGCCTACATCTTTCAGAAGTCTGATGGGAAGAGGAGGATGGACACACCGTGGATGTACGAGCCACAGGTAGAGAGAGCGGCACTAATATATTTGGTTTATTTGTCACTTAGTGTTAAGTCTGAAGAAGCAGCTGAATGTTTTTAAGCAACAATGACACTGTCCAACAAAAACAAGATCAATTGTAGTACAATACCTGCTTGTATTTCTGCTCTTGCAGTAAAGATCAGTCAGTATGCTTGTTATTCAAGAACCAACAGCACAAACGTAAGAATAAAACAGAAGTAATGTTATTTACATAAGCACATAGGTTTGCAGTGGGACATTTTAAAGGTCAGGTTGGAGGTTTCTGATTGCTGCCATTTTGCCAGTCAAAGCTTGAGAAAGAAAACAAAGCCTGTATGGAGTGCATGCTGGACAAACAAATTAACAATCCCCAACTGATATGTTGAGTCATTTGTCAATAACTCAAATATGCCCCCAAACCAACTGTTTTTTAAAGGAATACTTTTTGGAATATATACTGTACATGTACATATATAGATTGATATCACCCTCATCTATAAGTTTCAGTAAATATGGAGTCAGCAGCTGGTTAGCTTAGCAGCACTTGTCCCTCCCTCATTACCACCACTGAGATCCTCCTTGAACAAGGAGCTTGTACTGGGCAGCTTTCAGATTGTGCGAATGTGATCAGGGCATCTCAGTAAAACTTCCTTGAATAAGTCAAGGTAAAAAGAAAAAAGAGAGAGTGCTAGCACACATACAAAAACATAAATATTGACCATGCAAACATGAGATATTCTCATGTAACTCATGGCAAGGAAGCGAATAATTCCATCCATCCATCGTCAACCGCTTATCCTGCATACAGGGTCGCGGGGGCTGCAGCCAATCCCAGCTAAGCAGTTAATTATATTTTCCCAAATGTTTCAACTACTCCTTTAATTGGATACTGTATTTATTTATTTATCTCATTTCTTTTTTTACACAATTTTTTTTTAATCACCATGATTATACATTAAAAAAGGTAAAACTAACTGCTGAGGCTATACCTTGTGGTGGAAAATCATTACTGGTATTAGATTTGAGATAGAAGTTGGAAGTTTTTGAATGGAATCCTATTGCAGTCAGAGACTTTAATAGTACTGCATTTTGCATTGGTTTAAGTTTCTTGGCCTCTGGAAAACATTCACTTTCAAATTTCTTTAATTTCTTCCTCCTACAGTTGGTTTCTGATGATGAGAACGGCAACATGAGAGCACTTCCCCTTACTGAAGACACACCCCCTCTTATTGAGGACAGCCAAGCTGTGTTGGAGGACTACACAGACGCTGTAGAATACAGACGTGGTCCACTGAATCCTGACCTGCACCAATCAGAGCCAGATGACAAATCGTCTACATATACTCTCACCAATGTAGTCCCATTAATCCCGAACTTCCTGGACACTTCCTGGAACCCATACTTGGACATTATCCGTCGTCGCCTCAACAACTTCTGCCATGGCAAATCCTTCGTGGTGACAGGGGTGACCGTTTCTGGGGCAGCCATCCAGCGAGAAAACAGGGACCGCCTGGCAATCCCGAAACACTTATGGCTGGCTTATTGCTGCCCACGGTTTGACCGTAACTCTCCCTATGAGGTCAGGTTCATGTTCCCTAGTTATGGGGGCTATGCACTGAATGGACAGACTGACCAGAGTGTGGTGGAAGTCCCTCTGAAGACACTGGAGAGCTTCCTGAAGAGCAAGACAGACATAGACAGTGACCTGACAATTTTTTACAAGGGCTGTGTGTCAGAAAACACCTTCAAGAAGAAGAGAGACCTGACCAGTGTTTCAGTATGATGGGACATCTTGAACTGGATGTCATGGATGAAGCCAATGATGAAATGCATCTACTGTATAAACATGACTCAAATCTTTGATTGAAGCAGTTTTAAGTAGTCCTGGTGTCACATGTTTTGGAATTAAATTATTATTAAACTACTACTGTTAAATTGGAATTACATTGGAATTGTATTATAAGTAGGAAAAGAGCCATTTTATGACAAACACAGCTCTTAATGTTAACTAAAGGAAATAAGGTGCACCTGCACATTAGAGGGCACTGTAGGAATTTAGTATCACACTTCAATAAAGCTGTGGGACTTACAGAGAGAGAATATAAATAGAATTATCAAAAAGCTAAAAGTAGCAGAGCCTGAGATTTCCTGACTTCCACAATCAAGTATCTCCCAGGCCCCCAAAACACTAGATCCTACGTTTCCTATCATGCAACTCTAATTCATACAAGTCATAAAACGCAAGAAGTACAACAACATGTGGAGGAGAAGTGACTCCACATGTAGGCCATGTCAGATTAGCCCCTGGATTTCATGGGCCAAATGTTGAAACAATTCAAACAATGTTCCTGAAATTCTCTACCTCATTTTGGGTCTATGTGGCTTACTGCTTCTAAGAAATGTGTCTATTACTGTATATATCGCAGTGCTGAACAAATGAAGCTTCACTGTGTAAATATTTAGCAAACTGAATTTTTAAAAGATATTACTGAGTGAAAATAAACGTATATCTATGAGTAATATGTACACAAATGAGGTATATTGTGTGAAAAAGGTGCTAAAACATTTTCTTTATGGGGAGTTTAGCCCATGTAGTGGATTGAACCTGTGACGTTCTGTGGTCCATCCTGAACTAATCAGACTTTTGCATTTCACAGGATGATCAGCAAATGCAATATACCACTTAAGAAATCGTCTTTCATGGCCCTCAGTAGTGCCTCTATAACTATGTGTCCAGGTAATATATTGGATATAATAGGGTTCCTGTATGTGAATGGATTATGAGTTAAATATATTTAAAACAGGATGACACTGAGAATGTTTAGTGTGGAAAGTTTTTTTTATCTATCTTTACTAAAATTGTAACAAAATCTGTATGAAACATTAATAAAATCAAACTAAAAAACAAAACAGTTTCGAACATGCATGATATGAAGTGAAATAATCCTGTATTTATAATGTCCCTGCCCTTGTTTTTACAAGTAATCTGTAAAATTAGGTTTCAATTATGAATTACATTTTTCCTGATTTCCTTCTAGTTATATTGCAAGTTGTCCCTTTTAGAAAAGAATTTCAGTCACTATATCACTCTTGTCAAAGCCACTAGACTCCATTGATAAAAACAGTAATTTTACCTTACAGAACATGGGAGTTGCTGGGTCGATCAGTTAGTTTCTTTGTTGTTCTTGTGTTGTTCTTTATTGTGTGAATGTGTTGCTTTTGTTTGTTTGTTTTATTGTGTGGATTTTGTGCTTTAAAGGGCTATATAACACCAAAGTCACACAATAACACAAACTTACCAATTGAGACAGCGGTAGGTTAAAATACTATTTTTGTCAAGGGAGTTCTGGTGGCTTTGATATAGTGTTGAACAAAAAAGATCTTACTATTTTTAAAAAATATCTGTCTCTGTAGATATCATTTCCATAAGACAGACACTTGTGTGTTTTATGTTTTTTATTTTGAAAAAAACAAACATTTCAGTGGACGTACTTTGAAGGGGGGCTCCACTACCCGCAAGAATTATATTGCAGTGGTCAATACTTGACCAATTAAAAAAAATTGTCCCACTCACATAGGCTCAAAAACATGGGAAAATAAGGTCCAGGTTGAAAAATACCAAAGTTACCTTTTAAGTAAAAACTAAGTAATTAAATTAGAGCCCACATTGTTCATGGTCTTCATCTTATTTTTCCAGTGCTTCATTGAAGATATATCACATTTATAAAAAGTGTAACATTTAAAACCAAGATGAACAACTCGTAATTCAGCATGACATGGTACTTTTTTACAACCCTAGGAACGTGAATAGAATTATACATAAGATTTTGTGTAGGCCCATTTGAGGAGTGCATGGATTTGAAGAGGTTAAGAAGACCAGTGACAGAAACGCTGATGTCTGATGCTATTGGCTCCCTATATTAGCTGTTCCTCTAGCTGTGGGTGGATCTGGTGAGGTGTAATAATTGCACTGTTTTGCATACTGAGTCCTGATTACAGAGAGCAGGGTGTGAAACCTGTGTTAGTTTTACTGAGCTCCATGGGCAGATATAGAGACACGTTCAATTATTTGTAGCAGCTCCCAGAGACATACTTGACAGTTTAACAGCTTTAACTTCTCACCGGTGTGACATCAAAGCCCTCCTGACCATGGCATTTTGGGCGCAGACAGCTTTCTTGCTTATCAACATCATAGCATCACCGGTAAGAGGGAGAGTGGAAAAAGAGCTGTCTCCAGAGTGCAGAGAATTCCTCTACATGGGAACACCACCGACTGGGCTGGAGCACCACAACCTCCAGTTCATTTGTCAACGGTACAACAAGAAGCCACGTTACGTGACGCTGTACAACACTGTGGACCATATACCTGTCTACTCTGCCTACACTTTCAAACGCTCAGAGGGAGAGAAATGTGTGGATGTCCCATGGATGTATGAACCTCAGGTAAAGAAAAATAGCGGTTTGGACATGAGGTGCTAAGAACGTATTTTAACATGAACAGCATGCTAGACTTTTTCAAAATAAAAGTGCATGGAAGTGTTGTGTAATCATATTCTACCATCCTATCCTCATCCTCTCATTCACACTGTCTGTTTGCCTACACAGCTATCTACATCCTCTGATACAGATGAGATGCAGCCTTTCCCACGTGGTTACATGCACATGAATTTTGAAGACGCCCAAGCTGTTCTGGATGATTATACAAATGCCATCCTTCACGAGCGTGGTACCCTCAACCCAGACGAGCATCAGAACGAACCTGATGACAAGGCCTCCACCTACACCCTCACCAATGTCGTGCCCATGGTGCCCGACTTCAACAACAGAGTCTGGAACAAACAGGAGCACATCATCCGCAAACGGCTTAACAACTACTGTCGTGGATCAGCTTACATTGTCACCGGTATCACCACCTCGGGGAAGATGATCCGCCGGCAAAACATCAACCGTGTTGCAGTGCCCACATACTTGTGGTCAGCTTATTGCTGTGCTGACTACGACCACAACGCACCTTATAATGAGCGCTATAAGTTCCCATCTTTTGCTCACTATGGTCTCAATGAAGAGAACAAAGAGGTTGTGGAAATCTCCGTCCAGAAGCTGAAGGAGTTCCTCAAGAAGACAACCTTTGTAGATCAGAACTTTCAGATCTTTGTGAATGACTGTGTCCCACCAGCGTCCAGTAAAACTGATTAGGGAAATTAGCTATAAGGCAGCAAAGTTCAATTTGGCTATAACTATCCAACTCATGTTCTGTTTCTTCAGCAGACAGTTTGACTTGTCATAGTAAGAGAAGCAGAGGTGTTACTGATAAGATTAACAATGGCTCCAGTAAGTTTAAGGCTGTATTCAAAGCTGCCCACTACACCACAGTGCACACTGATTTGGCCTAAATGTAGTATGCAGTATTCCAAAAATATGTCATACGGATGTCATACTGATTCAGAAAAAATCTCCAGTTGCATCGAACCAGTCTACCTCGCATACTGTGTCCCATAATGCAAAGCGCTAAAATGGTCACAAAAACCGGTCTTTAAAAAAAAAAGGTAATCTTTATTTAATCAGGCAGTCTCAACAATTAGTCAATGTTGAAATGGCGAACAGCACCATCCCTGAATCAGTGATGGATAAGGAGGAATGTATCTGCTCTGTTCCTGATAACAATACATATAAACTCAATGTTGGATTTAAGTTATGTATGTCATGTTGTTTTCTTATTGACAGCTCGCTAAGCCTGTCTTCGTAATATCAAACATTAGCTTAGCAGGCTTAATAAGCATTATGGCTTTGTCATGGAATGTTCAAATGGAGCCAGCTATAACATTCCATTCATTACAGATCGGCTGTAGCCTTGTTCTCCTTACACAAGATTAAATTAAATATAGAAATAGAATTAATAATTAGAACTTCATGAGTGGAAACCGGATAAGCCTTGCTCGCTTACTGCAAAATAAACTGATTTAACAGTTTCATGCCGCATACTTTAATGAAACGTAGTATGCAATATGTAGTACGTACTGCATACTGCATACTGCATACTGCATACTGCGGTCGCTGGTAGTATGTAGTAAGCACCTACAAATTCAAGTAAGTGACCCAGTATGTCATGCCAGTGTGACAGTGAGCCGGCATGTACAATACAAGGACGCTAAAACTGAAACAGCTCAATGGAATTCAGCCACAATTAATTTTATTATTAACTCCTGAGCTTTTCCTACTGTGACATGTCAAAATGTATTCTGTGACAGAGGTCTATAGCCTATTGGAGTAGCTAACATGTAATTTGTATCAGTAAAAAGAATATACACTGCTTTGTCATATTTGCAGTAATAAACCTTTGCAAACCGTAATTAAACTGTCTTTGAAGCTTTTTTTGACACATTTATGTGATATTATACAGATTACTTATTATCATTATCAAAAGTAACACATTTACATGAAAACTGTTCCTACTCTCAAACTTATATACTTTAAGGTCTCTTTTGGTATTGATTTCATAATTAACACCATATATTTTTTATGCTTTTTTATACTGGCTTATATAAAACAATCACATACCATATTGCAGCGCCAGTATAATAATTAATGTTACAAAAATTCACAAAGCTTTTCATGGGGTCACGACTACAGGCTATAGATTATTTGTATTCATACTGAGTTAAGAGAGTAGACTTAAGAGCGTTGAGGATGGTCTGCAGAGATTGTAGACTTTTGTTTTTCCTCCTTCAAAGCCATAGCTGAAACAGCTGTCTGCTTTGCAATTGGTTAAAAAGAACTGTTACACTACAGTTCTTTTTAATATAAGAGATCCGATCTTCTTCTCTGACTCTGATGTACAAGGTAAATTTATTTGTCATATTACAATCGAGTTGTAAAATGAGATGCAGTTTCTTGCTCCCTTGCTCCCGATATACAGTATATCAAAATTATAAATTTATATAGAGAAATAATCTATTTTGTTTGAAGCAGTACTGAGGATGAATTTAGGATTCTCATAGCCTGGGGGGAAAAGCAGCTATGTAGTCTCGTGGTGAGACAACAAATACTTCTGTATCTCTTGCCACATGGCAGCAGGGTGAACAGGCTGCCCATGACAAAACAATCAGTTTCTTCCTGACGTACATTTTTGTTTTTACTTTCTTTCATTCTCACCCTTACTTTGTAACCCTCTGTCTCAACACAAAAAAGAAAAAGAAAACTGAACGCAAAACATCATTACTAAAGCTATTTGTGCACATCTTGATCCTTCACGTTTCATAATAGAGTATCAAGTCAGCATAATTTTTTGCTCTGCAGTTCACAGTGATAAAATGCTCTGGATGCTTGATAACATTCACGGTTTTTGAATTACTGCTACGAATTGTGTGGCACTTTGAATATATGTAAAAGGCTTTACAATGGGAGACTAGTTTGCTTGAAGTGTAGATGAGGCAATAAGGTAAATGCTGAGTGTGATAGAGCCGGGACAGAGGCTGTACTTGTTAGACAATTGTGGATTTGCCGTGGTGTGTTTCAGGTTATAGGGAGACACACGAGCAGACGCAGAGAGGTCTGAAAGGACATAGAAATTGTAAGATTGAAGGAAAGATGATACCTACATCAGAAAACTGTGCCCTAACCCTGGCAGCTGTCATGTCCATGCTGACATGTGTGTTGCTACAGGGGGCCCAGGCAGGAGTGGTCGGGGACTTCAACCATGCCGAGCGCTGTAAGGACTCTCTGTACATGGGCACTCCACCCCGAGGCTACCTGAGCAACTCCTTTAAGAAGATCTGCCAGAGGTATGAGGACAAACCCCGCTATGTCACCCTGTACGACCCCCACAAACACATCCCCATCTATTCTGCCTATACGTTCAAGAAGTCGGATGGGGAGAAGAAGGTGGACTTCCCTTGGATGTTTGAGCCCCAGGTGAGTGTTGTTTCAAACTTAATTTTAACGTTAATTTTAATGTAATACAAGTCTTGTTTCAGCTGAATTTCAATTCAAATCCATTATAGGTAGGTGTGCTTTTTCTGTGCGTGTGGAAACACACGTCTCACATACCACATGTACATCTATTTTTAAACATTTATTAGGCATGAGCAATTACACCATTACCTGTATCTGTTCAACAAACTAAATGATCTGTATCTGTACTCGGAATTGACAGGGCTTACATTGGATGTGGGCGGGACTAACCAGAAGTTAATTTAAGCCTAAAATTGATAGGGGTGGATCAGAATCTGCTAGAAAACTATTTGCAGAACAGGCTCAGAATTGAGCTTCAGAGCAATGTTTTGATCACAATAGTAGGAGAACTGTTTACAGAACATTCCTGTATTTATTGTTTATTAGAAAACGGATATTGACACAATTAACTTTGACACCCATACACATAAAAAGTTCATTATCTGTACTAGATACTCACACAAGTACTCGCCTTAACCCTTCCATTTATGAAGACTTGCATTATGTTTTTAGGCTCAGAAAACAAATGCTCACAAATACAGTATTTCAGAAATCCACACCTTACGATCTGGGACAAGTGTATTACTGTTGCTACAGACAACAAAGTAAGCTTGAGATAAGCTACTTTATTGGCCATGAATGGTATTTCAAGGAGATACTGTTGCCATGACCATTTAGTCTCTAGTGCAGAGTGGTCATACTGATCTTCAAAGGGCCGACATGGCTGCAGGTTTGCGTTCACACCAAGCAGGAGCACACCTGACTCATTCAATCAACTGAATGGCTTCACACAGTTGATCTGTTGTATCGGGTGCGCTCTTGCTTAATCAATGATTTTCTGCTTTAACATTTCAAAAGCAATCAAACTGTCAACTAGATTGTCTTCTTCTCTCTCTCTCCCTCTACAGCTGGCCTCAGAAAAGAGCAGCAGTAACATGGAGCCCTTTCCCCAATCTTCAAGTATGCATATGAACTTTGAGGACACCCAGGCAGTCCTGGAGGACTACGCTGATGTGGTTCAGTATGAACGTGGCCAGCTAAATCCTGACGAGCATCAGGCTGACCCTCTGGACAAAGCCTCCACCTACAGCTTGACAAATGTGGTACCCCAGATCAGGGAGTTCAACCTTGGCCCCTGGTCGGAACACCAGGATCTCCTCCGCAAACGTCTCAACAACTACTGTCGTGGCAAAGCCTTTGTGGTAACCGGGGTCACCACATCAGGTCACACGATCCGTCGCAACAACCTAGACCGGGTGGCTGTACCGGAGTACATGTGGTCGGCCTACTGCTGCACCGAGTTCGACCAAAACGCACCATACTTTGTGCGCTACAAGTTCCCTGTGTTTGGATCTTATGGGCTGAACGATCGTGTTAACAACCACATGGTGGAAGTTCCTCTGAAGAACCTGGAGAAATTTCTCAAGGGGAGGATGGATGTGGACAAAAACTTTCAGATTTTCTATAATGACTGTGTGCCAGATAACTGAGATAAATTGAAGGGGATCTCTGTTATAAGTCAAGTTTCAAGTGTGTTGGAAAATCTACTTGAGACAAAGGCTCTTGCAGCTCAAACTTTACATTAAACAAAAATGTGTTGTCAAATTATATTCAAAATTAGCAAACAATAAAATGGGAATTAATTGGAGTCTGTCTCTTTTCATTATCAGTGACACTGCAGATTATTTTCTGTATGAATTGTTTGGTCTGTAAAGTGTCAAGAAATATCCTGGAAACCAAATGTGAAGTCTACAAAGACAACTGTCATTTGAAGGACACGCTCTCGCGTCAACTCCTGCCCCCTACTCTGCCTCTGATTGACTAACCCTAACCAATGGAAACAACAAGTAATGAACATTCATTATTTTCTGAATGATCTTCATGTTTGAGAAGCTGGAACCACAGAATCTTTAGCATTTTGGGTTGAAACATGTCTTTGTTTCAACCAAAGACCATAATAGCCTAAATAAAATAACTAATGTTCTCTCAATCTTTCTTAATAATAATAATAATAAAAAATTGAGTGTTAAATTATTAAACATATATAATATTCACAATATTGGTAGTGTATAGTGCTACAACCAAAACAATTCTATGCTATTTATATCCGTATCCATAATGTTTGATTACTGAGCTTAATGTGCATTTTCACACAATGGAAATAATTTGATGATATAAAAAAAGATGACAAACTCAAGCATTTACTTTTGAAGCAAGGAAAGAAATCATTGAGGGAATCACTTAATGTATGTCCACGCAGATTTGATCTTCAACAGGATTTTAATGTAGCAATAATGAAGAAATTGATCATCAAGTTGTTTTAGTAGTTTGTTCCTAAAATACGTTGTAATTTTGATTCCATCCAAAGGATGGCACTACAGCTGCTTTTAAAATTTCAATACTCACAGTCCAGAACAAAGTCCATCTCAGTAAACACTTTGCATTGCATCTAGATGAAGAAATCCCACATTTTATTTAGTTAGTTCATCCCCACAAATAATAATTCATTTAAAAGTTTGAAACTGAGTGGCTGTCACTTAGTTTGTTCCTTTTTTGGCAGTCTGAGGCATACACAGATTATAAAATGAAGACTGATCCAATGATGATACTCTTTTCCACGCCACCCACCCTCTCCTCTGCAGCTCCATCTTCTCCAGCTGACATCCATAGTAGTGAGGGTCAAGGACTAACAAGTAGCTCCCCCTGTCCCCAGTGCACACCCCTACTATCCCCTTAGAGGAGTTGTCCCTATCCCCTCCCATCATGACTGGAGATCCATGCGTCTCAAAGTGCCGATGGAGCTCTTCCACTGCAACACGCTCCAGCTCTGCCCCTCCACCTCTAACATGTACCAATTTACAGGGGACATCATAGAAATAGTCAAGGACCAGGGAGGCTTCAAATGTCCCTATCCACTCCCTGGAGCATGAGAACGAGCCTGGTTTGTCCCCCATGGTGACCAAGGCTTGCTGGATTTCTGGGAGGCTTGGGGGAGGCCTGTGCTTGTCGTTAAGTGGAAAACAGCTATGGCAAAGCCAGGAAGCCATTGTCTGAATGGTGCGGTAACCACATCCCCAGCCTCTGTCATCTTGTCCATCACAGCCATAATGGAAGTAGAGGTAGTCTCCTTTTATCAGAGAACATTTCTCAGGATGTGTAAATGGATGAGCAAGACCAGTGTGGACATTCTTAGGTAAGGTTGTGGTCTTCTTCATATTGTCCCCCTCTTCAGCTCCACTTCCTCCCCAGTCAATCTGCTCAGACTCCGCTGCTAAAACCTTTTTATCCATGTTTCCAGTTCGTCTCTGTCGAGCACACACTTCACATTTAATCTAATGCATTCAAAATGTTCCCAGCTGTTCATAAAATGGTTTATTCACCCGGTTCGTCTACATCGCTTCATACAGTCGTCTGTTGTAACTGCAATAACTGTCCCTTCGGTGCACTTGCAACACTTGAGTTCCGCCTTAGCATCGTTCCCACCAACGATGATGCCGTCAGGAGCATTTCTGCCAGGTCTTTGCATGAAAATATAGCCTAACATCGTCGGTTTTAGCCTTTTATCAGTGGAATTTCTTCTATCTTGGTAAAAGGTGTGAATTAGTGTTAGCTGTTTAATTGTAGAAACAAATAAAAAAGCTGAATAAAGCTGCAGTAATAAGGAGCAGAAAATGCGCCCCGGTAGATGCCGGTTGATTGACAGTTGTCGATTTTGTAGTAGCCTAACTTATAATTTTCATGATATCGTGAAACCTCATTTGTTTCTAGAGGTAGCCTAGCTTATATTTCTGGGTGTTACAGATGTTTGAGCAGGCTTTAGAGCACGCGACCACAACACATCTCAACACACCTGGCTTTAATTGATTTTAGGCTAATAAATAATTCGCTCGCTTGTTTTTTTTCTTCTCCCACAAAATGGCGACCCTGATAAAACATACAAAATTCGCCTCTTTATTGGTGGTTTTGCTATCTGTGTGCGGTCTTCTCTCGGCTGAAACGGTGCGTGTAGGGACTCGGGAAAGCGTCGGACTAGAAATAGACTGCAGAGAAGTCGAAGTGAGAATAACCGTGAAGCGACAGTTTTTCGAGGAGAGACGTATCCCGTTCAGACCTGAGTATCTTAGACTTGGAACACAGCAGCGGCCCTGCGGACCAAAGGGACCAATGTCTGATTCTGAAATGGTCATCTCTGCAGGGCTGCAAGAATGTGGGACTGAGTCCAGTGTAAGAGAAGGGGGGTAACACTAGAGGGGAGCGAGGACGAGTTGGACAATTCAGATAATAACGTTTCTTTTATGTATAAAGAGCAACACAAACACCTGAAAAGGTTCATATTTAAGCACAAATTGGGCTAAAAGATACAAATGAGTAGAGGGAAACTTATCAGATTATCATTATTGTAGTCTTGTTCAATGCGTTCTGATAATATGCAATCATGTGTTTTTCCTACAGGTAAAATTACTGGAGCTGCTTGACTTCACTGTAATTGTATTTGAGCGCCAGTAGCTACCTCTTGAACTACCTTTAGCTGTCCAGTATTATCACTTATTCATAGTTTGTGTTTGACAACATCAACTCCTCATGTCTTTGGACTAAGAAGTTTAGTTTTTTAACCATCTAATTGGATGCAGTGTAATTCACACGTTAATCAGGTGTGTAGAAAACTGAAATCCTGCAAAAGGAAGCGGGTATATTTTACAAAATGCATTGATTTGGTCTTAAATCATTATCAAATAAGACACGCATTACTTTCTTTTGCAATCATAACAACAAACACATAATATGGTTGCAGTGAATCTAAGCAGGTGGTGGTATTTTTTTCTATTATGGTTTCCTTTGTTCTTTATACTTGCTCTTATCCAGGTTCATGGTGAGTGGCTTGTGTACGCCAACCAGCTGGTACTGTTTCCTGCTGTGGTTCTCACCTCCACAGGCAGTGTGATAGTTAGAGGGGCAACTATTGAAATACCTGTTGAGTGCCGTTATAAGAGGTAAGACAGATGCCATATTATTAGATAAATCCTCACACCTACAGAGTACACATTTTCCTTGGTTCAAGTTTCTTATGCAGCACATTATAGGAGCAGTCAAGTCATTCTTTGCCGTTAGCTGTCATCAACACTTTGTATAACATGCACCTTATCTATGTGCGAGCACAGAAAGCAGACAGTGAGTGGAGAACCATTAACCCCAACCTGGCAACCAATGACATCTACAATCAGTGTCTTTGGCCTTCTGCACTTCTCCCTTCGTACCATGGCAGGTGAAACCATTATCTCATTGACTCTAGACCGTATCAGTGGAAGATTTCTCTGACGACAGTAATATGTGGACATATTGCTTCTATCTGGATTCCATGTGGAAGTGGGACTGAAAATAAGTTTTGTTTGTTCTTCTGCAGGTGACTGTACCTCTCTACGTAGTTCCTCAGTGTATCAGCAGGGGGAAGCAGTGTTTTTAGAGGCCAGTGTGGAAGCCCCTCTGCACCCTCCTCTTACTCTATATGTCGACTCCTGTGTGGCTACGTTGACGCCTGACCCGCTCTCCTTGCCAAGCTACAAGTTTATCACTAAGCATGGGTGAATCTTTCCCTCTGACTAAAATAAATGACAAAAGAACTCAATTATATAATACTCATTTATGGATAGTTCCATACATAAAACTCACATCACATCAAAAGGCTACTATATGGCACACTGCTAAACCCAAGAACTCAAAGGTAAGATTAAATCTAGTTATTGGATCCTCATAACTGAGTTTGATCATCTGTCTTAATGCGTTTAGCTAGGTTGGAAAAGAAGCTAGGATGAACGCAGCATGTCTAAATCTATTGCCATTCATGGAATCATTTCAGCATGTGTTGCTCCTCCATTACAGGTGTCTAATGGACAGTGTATTGCCGGGGTCTCTATCTAAATTCCTCCCTAGGGAGCAAGATAACAGACAGTGCTTCAGTGTCCGAGCTTTCCACTTCAACTCGGAGTCTTTGGGACAGGTAACAAAACCTCACTGGACTGTAGCCAGTTCGTTCCTTTCTAAATGATAATTATTGTAATTGGAGTCATCATTTTAGCACAAAGGGTGTTATTTGTGTAGTTGTGCTCATTTTATCACTCTTCCTATTGCATCTGCAATGTGTTTTTTGTCAAACATTCAATGTGTGCGTTTTTAATTGATCAAGGCCTAAAGATATTTATGATATTGTTGCATTGAATCCTGGATCAAATGTACTTTATTGATTAGGCTTCTTTTCTTCTAGATGTTCATCAGCTGCCACCTCAGGGCCACTCTGAAACAAAACTCACACCGCCACCTTGATAAAGCCTGCTATTTCCATCCCCCCACATTCAGGTTAGGCCGCCAAAGTGTTAGTGATCTTCAGTTGTTAAATCAGTTCATCATGATTTGGTCTTGTGTGCGTGTGTGTATATAATTTTCATTTTGTGTATTTTATGTGTAAGTGTATTTTATTAGCTGGGTCATCACAACTGAGGTGTATTATCAGGATGTTTCTCTGTCATTCAGCTGGCGTGCCACAGAGGGAGACAGTGCTGTGTGTGAATGCTGTGACTTTGGCTGCTTTAGACAGGCTGAAGAGGAGAACAGTGGCCACACTGGTCACACAACCCAACCAGATACAGGTTGCTAGCCCTTTCCAAAAAAAATGCAACCTACACAAATGCATATAATAGCCTGACCTAACAACTTGTGTATTTGATGTATGCAAGCTTGCTAAGCCAGTTTTATGTGTTTGTTTTGACAGAAAAGAAGTACGAGATGGACACAACAGTTGGGCCACTTCACACGCTTCCAAGCTCCTATTGGAAAGGCCGTCTATCAGTCAGTCACTAAAGAGCCTTTTTCTAACTTAGGTGGGTATAGGGATTGTCAAGACCAAAACCAATGTTTGACATTAAAGCATCTATGACATTATTTTTCTCATGACTCATAAAAGTAAAGAAATGTGTTTTCTAAAAACGTATAGTTGGAGGCCATGGATAGCAAGCTATAGCATTTAAAGCCCCGACATGTGTGGTTTACCACTTGATTACTTTGGACCCCAGAGGCCTTTTGCAGCAGTATTTTACTATAGCCATCACAAAAGCTCCCCTATACACCACTGCCAACTGCAGACAGAAAATGTTGGCGGAAGAGATAAAACTGCCATAATGTGCACCAAGCAGTATGACTGAATAAACGTATGTAACGTCAAGAGTTTTTCTCTCTGGAAAAAGATCTGTTCATCATCTCAGACCATGCCACTTAAGTGATGCTTTAATAATTTTGTTTTTGTAAACTACAGGATCATACAGCAAACTGTCTGAATTGTTTCTGTATGTAGTTTAACACTTCCCTGCTGTATGGTAGCACATTGAGCCAGTGCTGTTCCTGTTTTGACTGACAATGCTCCTAAACCAAAACAGGTTAGTCAGTCGTATACTTTGAGGAAGTTGTACCTAACCCCAGGAGAAACAAACATAACACAGCCCAGATTTCACAGTTGTTTGTTTTATTTGTTATACTATAAACATTCGTTTGTGAATGATATGTTAAAGTTACTATTATACACGTACTTTAGGAGCTTTAACCTATTTGTCTTTAGCAATCTCAACACTTTTAAAGTTCTTGGAAATGAGGACAGAAATCCTGTTTATAAATGTGTGTCTCGTCTGAGACAGACCAGGTAGTTTCATCATGACTGAAGAATGGGTAGTTTTTTCATTCAGCCATGGAAATTGATTTACCATGAAAACAAACCCATCAGGAATTTCCACAAAGAGGTCAAAGAACTACAATGGAACCTAAAATATCTCTGAGGCAATAAGCACAGTGGAATAAACAGAGTAAGAATGGGACAGTTACGCAGCCATGTTCTGTATGTGCTTTACATCCCCTGTCTGCAGTAGAAATACTTGTCCAGTCCCGTGAGAGGAAATGGGACTGACCAAATGGAAAACCTGGTAGATTTCAGGACTACAATACTTCTTGATCTGGATCTCCCTGAATATAAGCCATTGTATTAATAAACAATTCAAAGAGGATATTTTCTAGAACTCTCATCCTAAAAAAAGATCATAAAAATGCTCCTAAGATCAGCTAAGTTTTGTATGTTATTCTTATGTAAAGCAATTTTGTGATTCTATATATATATGTAGATCTAGAGCTACCAATGTATGTATCAAATAATATGCATCTCTATAATCTGTGAGGACTTTATTAGGTACACCTTGCTAGTACTGGGATGGAGTCAGGTTGGAGTTGCTGTCAGGACTGGCTTAATTCTTCATGGCATACTTTCAACAAGGTGTTGGAAACATTCGTCAGAGGCTATGGTTCATATCAACATGATCGACAGTGAACTTTGTACAGTACTTTGAAAATTGTCATGTTCGAGAAACCAGTTTGAGATGATTTCAGCTTTGTGACATGGTGTGTTAGTAGCCATCAGAAGATGGGTACACTGTGGTCATAAAGGGATGGACATGGTCAGCAGTAATACTCAGGCGGGCTGTTGCGTTTAAACCATGCTCAGTTGGTACTAAGGGGCCCAAAGTGTGCCAAGAAAATCTCCCCCACACCATTACACCATCAGCAGCAGCCTGAACTGTTGATACAAGGCTGGATGGATCCATGCTTTCATGTTGTTTACTCCAAATTCTGACCCTACCATCTGAATGTCCCAGCTGAAATCGAGACTCCTCAGACCAGGCAACGTCTTTCCAATCTTCAATTGTCTGGCTTTGGTGAGCCTGTGGGAATTGTAGCCTCAGTTTCCTGTTCTTAGCTGACAGGCGTGGCACCCGGTGTGGTCTTCTGCTGCTGTAGCCCATCTGCTTCAAGTTTCGATGTGTTGTGCGTTCAGAGATGGTATTCTGCATACCTAGGTTAAAACGAGTGGTTATTTGAGTTAATGTTGTCTTTCTGTCATCTCCAACCAGTCTACCCATTCTCCTCTGACATCAACAAGGCATTTTGGTCCACACAACTGCCGCTCACTGGATATTTTCTCTAGATCAGCAGTTTCTGAAATACTCAGACCAGCCTATCTGGCACCAACAACCATGCCATGTTCAAAGTCACTTAAATCCCTTTTCTTCCCCACTCTGATGCTCGGTTTGGACTTCAGCAAGTTGTCTTGACCATGTCTACACCTCTAAATGCATTGAATTGCTGCCATGTGATTGCCATGTAAATAAACATGTAAAAAGAATAAATCTTTCAATAAATGTTTTTAAAGCGTGTAAATAAATCCAAAATTGTAACCTTAACCCTGGATTGTCAGTGCGCGTGCGTAGTGAAAGAAGAGGAACACTTGCTGAAGAGACTGCAGCTTCTCAAGATTAAAGCTTGTTATTTATCAATAGTTTCTTAATCATATTTAAGGCATTGGGCAAGTTTATGTCCTCCTTCAGCTCTTGTATCAGTTGTATTAGTAATGTGGTTAGTGCTTTTCTGCATTGTTATATCAAGTTTTCTGACTAATGTGTTGCACTGTAGTGTGTGATGCAAGTGTTGGTCTTGGCATAGCCAAGCCGATAATGTTTATGTTTGTTTTTACTCACCTCAGAGGCATATGATTGGCTGCACCAGCCCACGGTCCACAGTGTCTCTAAGTCCTGACTTTTTAAAATTTTTTATTAATGAATGTTTTAGGTTACAATGCACATTCCTACAAGGAACACAAGAACTCTAAATACTCAAAGGGAGGTGAGTCATGTAGCTACATCATTGTTGTAACAGGAAGCATCAAGGTTTTTATTAGTGTGTGGTCTTTATTTTAAAACCCCACTGAATTTGACAACATGCCCACAAAATGAAACCAGGACCGCCAGTTTTATTAGAATGAATTGTGCCGCCAAAGTACACTCTGAATTAGGGTAGGGAAGTTGTGTGGAGCAATGCGGTAAAAAAAAACAAAAAAAACTTAGTGGGTTGGATAAGATGGCACATGCCATTTTATTTGAATGCAAAACAAGACCTGTGTTGAGTCCAAATAGTTGGGTTGCTTTGGAATATACACTGTGTATCGTTTTCTTTTGTTGCAAATGGAGATAGGTGAGCAAGGCACAAGGGAGATGTTGATCCTAGAATAATCCTTTACTGTTTTTACTTTAAATGTTGAAAGCAATCAGATTATCACTTAATGTTAGACAGTCCCATTGTCTGTCAGGCTAATGTTGCCAGTATGCTGTCTGTTTTTTTCCTGCTGAGCATGAATGTGTAAATTACCCAACCAGCCAAACTGAGAGTCAAAATTAGCATGTGCAAATGTAAGGAGACATTCTTAATAAGATATATTTATACCCACATAGTACAGAATACAAATGGTGGTGGAACATTAAACCTGCAGTCTCGAGCAGTACTGCCAGAGCTAGCAGGTCAGGGAAATAGCAACACGGTCGTCTGACAGACGGGGGATGAGCGAGAAGTGAAAATGACAAGTGATGAGAGGCCCATTGGATAACAGCTGTGAGCAAGGGGCAGCTAGGCCACAAAAAATACCACACTGGGCAGCTTGGCAACAGGGAGACAACTAGATACAAGAAAAAACTCCAGCTGATACAGCCAGAGAATTGCTCACAGGGCAGTAGGGGCAAAGGGCATCCTTCCCTATTCTCCTGCTGCCAGCAGAGCAATTCTCTGGCTGTATCATCAGATGTTGGTGTTAGAGGGTTAAATGTTACAGTATTTAAGACCATTAGGGTTAAGTCCTTTTCAAGAGCAATGCTTTGTAAAGTAACTAGAAATGCATAGGAAGTCGAGTTTAAGCAACGGGATGAGAGAAGTTGTCAAGCAGCAGTTTTTAATGTTGCGTACTGTTGATTGGTTTCTACCATTCTTATAGGTAGCAATTTAAACAAGCTACTCGATTAATTTAATGAAATATTCGGCTGAGCAGAAACCAGTACTGGTTCAGAACTGGGGATCACTGGACACCGAATGACTACTGGCTGAATAGTTTATAGCTGTGCTAATGTTGTGGCTCTATGGCTGATGATGCCTGTTGGTTTGGTCCAGGCTGAAATATTGCCACAACTATTTAATGGACTGCCATCACATTTTGTTAAGACATTAATGGTCCTGTGAGGATGAAACCCACTGATGTTAGTGATTTCATCCCTTCATCAGTTCAAATATTTTATTTGTCCAATTATTTGTTTTATGACTAAATGTTTGCAAAATGAATGACATTGCCATCTCAAGGGAGAAACTCAAGTGATGTGGTTCCTCAGCAGGAATGCTCTCCACACTTGTGTTCATCACTATGGGATCACAATAATTTCAAGAGTGATAAGATTCTTGTCACTGTGGGTGCCTGTAAGCTGAGACAATAACTTCCGACTTCGTCAGTGTCTACTGACCTGGCTCCTGCCTTGGTCTCCTGCGTCCCTCACAGCCAGTCCCCCCATTCTTTTATGTCAGCTTCCTGTCTTGTGTCGCGCCAGTGGAGTAGACCTAGCTGGCTGCAAGCCAAAAACCTGAATGACAAAGCGAAACACACACACACACACACACACACTCCAACGTAACCGCTGTGCACTTTCACTGCTGTCTATGTAATACAATAAAGCTAATTAGGTTGTTTGCATCACCCCTGGCCATCTTTGTCTATTAACTAGTGTAGGTGAGGCACAGGCAAGGTGCATTTGGGTATATCCCCAACTTCACATAACCCCTCTTAAATCATCCTAAATTCAATAACTGTGTCCCATTCCAACTAAGGAGTCACTGTGACTGCACTCCCCTGCCCCCTCACATCCCTCACCTCCCACCCCAATCCCCTGCCCTGCTCACGAAGCATGGCTCGCAGCACGTACCTTGTCTCCCTCTCCTCTCTCTCTCTCATGTTGGCTCAGACATAAGCAAACAGCCCTTTGAGCAAACAGTGCAACAATCTGTCAACATTGTCTTTAGTTAAGCACCGCGGCGACCATGTAGCATTAAAGTTTACTCATAACAGACGGAGTATAGATATAAATATGTAATCTTATAAAATAATGTCTGGAAAATGATCCTCACTTATGGGTACAATGTTTAAATACCAGAAAAACAGTGTAATAATTTCATATTAAATACATTTCAGTCCTCTGTTGCATATTTTGACATCATAATTTTAGAACAATGTAAAAATCCAGAAATATTGTTAGAGATTTTAAAAATCTCTTGGTTAGAAGGTAATGCATTGGATCAATTAATCTTGTTAATTTGTTTTTGCAATTAAAATATTTTATATGTTAATTAAAAATTCTATTTGTGTGTAGACATGTGTGCCGTGCATGCATGTTACATAGGTTCATGAAATAGTAAACATGCAAACGTGTACGTTTGGTAACTTTTATCTGAGTTTCTGAGTATTTGTGTGAGTAAAGCTGTGTGTGTCACTTGACATTGCATGATGGCTCCTGATAATGTGTATGCAAACATACTTTTATGTCCACTCTGATGGAAAAGCCTCCTGTAGCCCCTGGAGGACACCCCCGCCTCTTTGACCCACAGAGAGAACTTCCAGGAAATTTCAAGGTGTCTCCTTTACTCTGGCTCCAAAGGGGCTGTCATGGGTCAGGGTGAGGACAAGGGACATAAACATGTGCAGAGAATAGATTGGCTGTATGAGATATTTTAACACAGTCCTAATTGGATATTAAGAATTTACAATATGTTCATAATGTTAACTTTTTATGGAATGATGTTTAACTCCATAAGTGTAATAAAATACAACATTGTGCAATGAGTCAGTAATGCCATCTTGGCCTGTTTGCTTCATTGTATTACAAAGGAGACATATTTAGAGAAAACTATTCTAAGAATGGCACCATGGATGAACTCCCAACGCTTACACTGTGCATGGACAGATTACTTGAAATAGCCCGCATCTTCCTGTAGCAGATACTGTGTTTTGATGATGGCGCAGATAAGACATTGCTACTCCGCGTGGCTGGGTCAGTCTCATTTTATCATATCAAGTTCACTGAAATTTATTTTTGTAGGATTTCACAAGAGGGGGTAGAGAGCATTGTAGTTAATTGTAAAATGCATTGTTTTCTTACAACATAACCTTGTTATTGACAAAAATTTGTGCAAACAGCGTCAGAAACAGCATTGTCAGAATTAAAAGTTTCAAGTTCCACTGCTGTCCCCTTGACATATTTCTCTATAAAAGGCAATTATATCTTCTAGATAAAACAGTAGAATGTGTTCAAGAATCAGTACAGTTATTGATTTTTTATTGTGAGAGAAGTTAGTGATTTCCCAGTCACATCAATACGGTTGAGGTTTTCTTTGAGCGGGTGTTTACTGGCCATCAGGCCAGCCATCCACTAGATTTTGTGAGAGGACATCTCACGTCATCCGGGGTTAATTTCCTTATTAACATTGGTCAGAGGGAAAATTCAGCTCATCAGCCAATGTACTGTATACCAAGCATGACTGATAATGATCAGGACATCCCACAGGAGGTCATGAGATGGAAGTGCTAATAACATCCCCATATTTACCCAATTGATGTGCGGAAAGTTTTTTTAAAAAATCCATTATACAAAAATCTGAATAAAAATCTGAAAACACACTCTTTCCAGTGAAAACTGTAGTTTAACCATAACCATATTTTTGTCATCCCTTTCATTTCCAAATTGCACAATGAACAGCCCATTCTGAGATCTTTCACTGCATTCAGCATCATCATCAGTCCACAGAGCTGGGTTCTGTTGTTAAGTACTTAAGGCAAGCACATTTGCTCTGTGTCTGCTTTCTTTTGTACCGTACAAAGGTTGTGTTATAAGTAAATTTCATTAGTTGCACAACTGGTACTGTAACACTGTAAGTACCAAACTTACTTCCAATGGTTGAATAAGGAAAGAACTTCTGAAAAAACTTTAACTCACAAAACGGATATTTAATCAGTACTTGTGGCGTTCAACAATTGTCAAAGTGTTCTCAGTTGAGCTTTGGTGTGAAATAATGTTTAATAAAATTTTAATAAAGTTATATATATAGTGGAGTATTTGTTCTGACACAATGTTGACTCTTTACACATTTGATGAGAGAAGCTTTATCTAAACTTTTTACATTTTAAATTTGCACAGCTTGTGTTCAACACTGCGAAACAGGTGACAAATAAAAGTAAAAACCAACAAAGTTGCCACCACAAGCCTCTAGAACAGTTTCAGGGCTCCTTGTCATAAATTGTCCACGTCACTTAAATTGACTGGAGGGATGAGCACCATTCTTCAAAAGATATTTCCTCGTTGGAGGTTTTGATGATGGTGGAGGAGAACACTAACATGTCGCTCTATAGGTTCAGGGAGCCCCTCATGTCTGTATAAAATCATCAGCATTTATTTTCTTTCTCCAATCCCTTAAGGTTTTTCCTTTGATGTAACTCCTGTCTGTGGTTAAAGTCAACACAGCTGACCATATATAGCTTGTTTATAACAAGTTTGACTCGTTTTTCTAAAAATGCACCAGAACAGTGAAGTCTAATCTCATTAACTGATACTGACTAAATGTGGGAATAACTGAAATTGAAATGAAACCCCAGTAAAATAATCACAACATAAAAGGGTTCTCCCACCATCCCTCTCCACTTTCTCATGCTCATGATTACTTTTTGCCATTCTCTGTGATTTACATTGTCTTATCTATGCATCAGCTATCAGAATTCAACACTGCTAACAACTTAGTCCGATGTGGTGGGATGATGCTTGAAGGGATTATTTGGTCTGAAGAATCCCTCCTCATTGTTCTCTGTCTGACTGTTATCTCCTCTTTCTCCGTGCTCTCCTGTCTGTCTCCCTTTGACAATCCCTGAATCCCCATTCCCTTATCATTCTTATCAACATATCTGTAGTTTAACATGTTTTTCCTTTAATCACAAAACACAGTCCTATCTACTTTATAACACCACGTGCTGATAACTAATCTATCCAGACCAGAAAGGGGAAAAAATGTTCAAACGACCTTGAAACGCATGCACGCCTGGCTAAAGACATCCAGGTGGAAGTTTTGGGTAATCACAAGCTGTATACGTTTGAGGATGTGAGTTATTTGGGGAAAGGGGGGTGTTTAAAGTTATACCTGTACGTCATACTGACTGTACTGGTGAGGTGAAGTTGCAGGATGGGCACAGTGCATATACCAGCTTACTGAGCTGTATGTTTAATCTCAGTCAAATTTCTGATAGTTGAAAATAAAGTCGATTTCTGTCAAACTTCGGAATTGGCGTCATTTGGCCACAGTGGTCGCTGAATGCGCCCTGGCACGTGACAGATGCCTGTCATATATTAAAATCCTTATTATTTTAACAATCAGGATAAAATTACTCATTTGATATTTACTATCAATATTTATACGGCCAATCGTTTAAAAAAAAAAATACTATTGTAATGACCGTTTTTGGAAATCATCGGAACAATGGATGGGAAGTCTCCGCACGGCTTTTTTTTTTTTTGGGACATTATTTACTTTTTAGGCCAAATGTTTTATAAACAGGGATAGCCTATTATTTTGGGTAACAATGAAAGAAAACAGGGTTGCCTTAAGGGAGGAGGTAGTTTAGATTGTCATCATAGAAACAATGCAACTTTATTTTCAAAGTCATCAATAAAAAATCAAACAGGATCAGTTTTTAGAAACACCTACCGGATAAGTGCAGGAGATCCACAAAAGAGCTTCGTTTCCAATTAATGTGCAATAGACGGACCTATGGGCCAAACCGCGAGGACCCTGTGAGGGGCTATGCGGATACCGCTATGGAGTTTCCCAGTGAGTTATGGACATGCCTTCATGATTTTTTCTGGCTTTAGTAGTTAGTGTATTTTCACGCTTTACGCAAAGGGGGGCTTCGCAGGGCATGCTTGGGTTGATGTTTAATCGCTCACTCTGGTGCGTAAAAAGGCGCGTCCTCGTACGTGCGGGCCATCACGTTATCGCTATATCCTTAGGGAGGTAAATAAAAGGTTTTGCCAAAGCACATCGGTGATGCGAAGTCTGGTAGGTGACTGCTCTCGACAGCAGCACAGATCTTTTTAACACGGACCTGCATGCCGGTTGGACCAGCGCTGGGACCAGCGCACTTGGCTGTGTGTTGGGCTTATTGGATTTGGCTAGTGCCTTTGACTTGAGCCGTTAAGCTTGTGCATATATTTAATTCTTTCACAATGTTTTTAAAACATGCGGCACCTGTTTGCGAATGTTGCAGAAAACGGGTAGAGGTAAGAGTCTTCTAATATTATGCAGTCTCGTGCGTCCCTATGTGTGCTGCACCAGGCTACATGCTCAGTATTTCAGAACACGTGTATCACTTTGATGATGTATGGATGTATCTTGCAGCTATTGAGTATTGACATACTTAGGCTATATGTTTATGGGTGAATTCTAATTCATTGGATTATTTAAGATGTGTCTGGAGGTGTGGGTTATGCCTGTTTTTCTATAAGTTGTCCTCTGATTCTTCTCATCCTCTTAAGAATTATTTGGACGAACTTCAGAATTGTATTTATTCACCACAGTTCATGGACATAGCCACTTCCTAGAAGGCTGTTGTATATTAAGCTGTGCTGCAAAACTATAGTCCTCTATAATTAATCAGTCCTTTAAGAAATAAAATAGTTCACATCTAAGTGAAACCAAATTACTCTCAGGTGATGGATGGACAAACCTAAAAATGGGGAGTCTGCAGACTTTTCAGTGTCAAAAGAACAATCGTTTTAAAGGTGCTGATGAAGTTGATATAATGCATCATGTTGAGTCCAGCAAGGCACGAAATCTGTTGGAGTTTTACGCTCATGCTAGAAATGTAGTTTCTATTTCCTGTTACTGTCGGCCACTGCAGATAAAACGGTTGCTGAATATTGATGACCAGTTTGGTCTTGTCTTGTCCACTGGGAAATTACACCTTCAGTCATTTGTTCTCTGGCATGATACAGCAGAAAATTAAGGGTACTGAATGTGAAAGCTGAATCTGCATTTTTTTTTTTTTTGTCAAAGTTGTCAAACATCCTTATGTCAGCAGAAAAGAGCGGTTCTCAAAGGCTGACAGTTATGCAGGATTCCAGGAAAAGCCAAACAGGAAATTATGTCACACCTGTGTCATCTGATAGCCACTTATTTACAACTCTGCACGTTGTCATGGGGAAGACCCAAAAATAGACAGGAGATAGCAAAACATTCAAAAGCAACAGTCCCATCAAGTGATGTTGCTTTAAATATCATCTCCTTATCAGCCCTCTGGTCACCTGTTTGACATGGTTAGTTAAAATAGCACATGTCAAAGGCAACATCTCATGCGAGCATCTGGCCACCTTTCCCAATCATCTGTCACATACCTGGAGGGAAGCTCGGCATTATCCAAAGCACTGCCACTCGTGGACTACTACTTCAAATTTAAAATAGCAACATGGTTTTGGCAGCAGATGTTGACAGACAAAGCTGTTAACTTTTAGTTTGGCCACAGTCCTGGACTGCAAATTCCACCACCGCGGTGTGAATGTAGAGAGAGTGTGTGAGTGTGTATACACTTTAGATTGAGGCATTCTCACGTAGGCAGTGGCAGAGGTGAAAGGGTCAGTGGTAATCCTCAAGCTGAGTCACACACAACAGGACCGTGTCTTGAAAAGAGTGCATGGAAATGTCTGTCCAGACATTACTTTGCCCCGGAGACAGCTATATGAATTGGTATATGTTAAAGACTATAATTAAGTGTGTACAATTCATTAGGGACCACATTGTTGAACGATGGTGTAGAAAGACCTGCAGGGCTTGGATGATCTTAAAGGATCAGAGAAGGTCTGAAAAAGCACAAAGATTTAAAGTTTGTGATTTACTACAAGAAGTACAGCCAACAGGCCTAGAGTAGTAGGATGTATTCTCTGTGTAAAACATTCTTACATCTTAGGAGTAATAATTCATTTTCAATGAACCTATAGATGACTCTTAGAAAATGCCAGTCCTAGTGAATGTTACACACCTGGCGCCACCATCATCTTGGTTTATGTGTTTATATTAACTGGATCGCGCGTCTGATTGTAAGTGGTTGCTCAGGGAAACAAGGAGTCTGCAATACTGTCACTAATGTGCATGGAGTAATTGGGAGCTTGTGAAACTGCGGGATGCTGCACCACTACTACTATGTACATAGAGGACAGAGTTTATAGAGGGTTTCTGTGAAACATGGGGGTGGCATGAGTCAGATGTTCCGTTTCATAGACACAGACTGAACCTATTTGTTATTGACAGTCTCCTCCATGATGTTGGCATTGCAGAAAAGGGGGCATTGAGGTTTAGCTGATTATACTGTTGACCTCTTAAAGGACCACTTCTAATGTTCTACCCGTAATAGTATTATGACAGCTGATGTTCTTTCTTAGTATCCCTCAGTGGTACAGAAGTAATATTAGTGTAACCTTGTTTGCAGTTCAGCTCAATTTGTGTCTGGGGACTTTATCTGACCTGTCTGCTTTTGAAGATCTTCTGTGTTTTCTGTCATCCTTCTGCGTCACACATCCAGGCTGCTCTGAAAGAGAGCATTCAGCATGTGGCACAGAGGAACGAGGCCGGATGCCCACATGACCCACAACAGTAGAGCCACTCTCATTGAGTTCAGATTCTGCTGCGCTTTCCATGAACGATCATTGAGAAAATCTAACATCCACGTTTCTGAAAAGTGCTGACTAATGGCCCATATATAGCACCACCCTGTTCTGTTGTATTGTTTCTGCATTGTCATGATACTTGCAGCTTTCTGTTCACGATGAAGGATGTCACATGGTTTCTTCAAGAATGAAACAAAATGAAAGAGATACCGCTTTATCATGCTGAATCACGCTGACTTTATGTGATCATCATATCTACTGTAATGTGTCGGAAGGACTGTATCCCTTGCACTTTTAGAGGTATTGTTTTATAATTGACACAGACCTCTGACCTCACAGTGGGTGAACAGAAAATTGATCAATAATCTGCAGCAAAGTTTGTTCTCATACATACTTTGCTGTCTGATAGGATCTGAAGAGGTTATAAGACAACAATGGTGGGACTTAAGTAAGACAGAAGAGGTGTTAGAGTCACCAAATGTTTTTTCATATAGATATATATTGTTGAAAGACCTCTACTGACATCACCAGATGAGGGTGGTGAGTAGTTGTATTACAAAAGACAGTTGTTTTAAAGGTCTTGAGGTTTTCATACATTTAAAATGTGAATAGAGATAACAAATGCACAAAACAAGGTGGATTGCTTTGTTTCGTTCCCAGTCAATTATATATATAAATAATATTTATTGTGTGAAAATAAATGCATGGTAGTTTTTGTTGGATTATTGCTGTTGTTGCTCTTTTCTTTAAACTGTAATGAAAGACAGCCAGCGTCTTCATAAGTTGGTGGTATTTTGCCCTGCAGGAATGTGTTCTTTAATCATGGCTGTCACAGGGGTAACTGGTTTAATCCCCCGGGGCTAGATTCACAAAAATATTCTTTTAGATAAGTCTAATACAAGTTAGAGAGTTTCACAAAAAGAAAGGCTGTCTTTCTGTAAGCCTAGAAAGTTTGTTAACAACGCTAAGGGGCAAGCAATGAGGAAGGAAAGAGTTTTTACAGACCTCAGTAACCCTTTGGAAACATAATGCAGGGAGGACGTCGTCAGTCATTTTCATTGGTCCAAGGAAACTGTCCTGACACTTATGACTCAGCAGAAGTACTGATTGAGCCCTGTCCCATTAGCCACAGCATCTGAGCTCTGCTAAAGGACTGAACTGCAATGAGATTCATGCTACCAGAAGTGTTTTTTTATTGTTACAGTCAATACTAACCCTAATTGATGAGTTTTTCCAGAAGTCAAACATTTTCTGCTGGAGTGAACGGAGCTGTGCGGTTTGACGCTGTTGCTCAGTCAGTCATGTTTTCTTAGTTTGAAGCAGTCCACAATAAGAGAGCTTTATGCAATACACACATTTATGCGTCTATCTGAAGCCTGACTATCAGTTTGGTTTAAGCCATAGTCTATTTTTGTGAAACCGACCAAATCGGAAAGTTGTTTTTCCCATTAGCTGTAACTGAGATGGCCTTTACCAGTCTCTACCAATCTCACATGGTTCAGATGTTCAGTTTCTGATCTTTTTAAAAGAGTATGAATGGGTTGTATTGATGAAAGTGAAAATGCATGCACAGTGAAACCTTTCCTTAGAAAGACTTGCCTCTGTTCTGCTTCTTGGTTAATGTCCTATCGGCTTTACTGTGTGAACCTCAAACTTTGTGTCCTTGTGTCCCAGAACTTTAGAAACCGCAGTTGTGTTAGAACGTGCATCATGTTTGAAAATACTTGAATTTCTGCATTTAGCCTGGCTTGAAAATGTACATGAACCTCTATGATATCAGCCAATAAAATCTACCAATTGGGAATGTCACTACTTTATTGACACTATACTTTTGGAAATAGTTTGATGAGGGGAAACATGGCAGAGGATCTCTGAAGAAGGGTTAGAGCTCCACCGAGAGTAAAGTAAAAAAAATCCTCCCAGGTGTTACTAGGGTTCTATGCACAGAAGAGAAAAAAGTTTAAATTATGACACCAGAACCTTGCGTCATGGTTCAGAAAGTACAAGAACTGCCTTCCCTCTGCAGGTCAGATTGCGTCAGTCTATTGTCATGACTCAGAAAAAAGTTAGTCCATATAAGTACACACAGTTAAAATGGGTTACTTGCTCCTTGGCAGCGCAAATCAGCTTGTTTTGATTCAGTTTTGATGTTGAGAAGCCTTTGAGTGACTTTATTTGTGTATGTGTGATGGCAGGACTGCTTGCCTTGCTGTTGCTAGTGTTGGAGTGGACCCGGCCAGGCCTACCGTCCCCGCTGAGGCCGATCTGTGACCTGAGAGTCCTGAACCATTTCATTAAGGAAGCACGAGACGCCGAAGTCGCTATGGTAAGAGGAAAATGTATGCATGCGCTCAGACCTAAGAGCAGGAGAAGCTTGCTGCAGAGATACCGTGGCCCTGGAATCACTCACGTTTATGTATCATTAGAGAAAAGTACGGCAAACACTAACATTTTTACTCTTTTGTTTTTTAGAAATCATGTAGAGAAGGATGTAGCCTGTCAGAGTCTGTCACTGTTCCCCAAACCAGAGTCGAATTTGATGTCTGGGAGAAGAAAAACGTAAGTAACCACTGAAAGTTGAAGGTTGACACAGCTGACTACAGATTTACATTAGCTATAATGAGTAATTCAAGTAACAAATTTGCTGCCTTTTAACCACAGACATCCTTTTAGAATCCTACTTTTTTGATATTCCTAGACATTTGTGTGCTTTTTGGGGGAGCTGTAACTCTAGTTCATTTCTAATGGGAGAGCTGATTACCTGCTTCCTTATCGCTTCCATAATGAAACTGTTGCCTTCTTTTTTTTTTTGTTTGTGGCAAGGCGTTGGAGCAAGCCCAGGAGGTGCAGTCTGGCTTATGGCTCTTACAGCAGGCCCTCGGCGTGCTACGGACCTCAGTCACCAACACAGCACTGCACAGCCACATAGATAACTCCATCAGAAACCTGCTCAGCATCAATGCTGTGCTGCGTAGCCTCAACATCCAGGTGAGTTACAGCAGGCTCAGAGGTACAAATCCAAGCAGCTGTGTTCACCAGGAGCCTTTTGTCACCTTTATAGTATGAAAACAGCCTATGTAATGTACTTTGAGGGGATAGTTTAAACCTTTTTAAATTAGTTTGAAAGACAAGTTTGTCATTTACATGCCTTTTCTGATTATTACCTAGTATAAATATCGATCCTCTTCCCAGTCAGGCTAGCCCACTTGAGGAACACCAGGATGTCTTTCCCATTGCTTGTTTTTTGCAAGTGCTGTCAACCACCTCTCCAAGTGGTTTAGCTCTCTCAGCTTAAATTTAGGTGGCTCTTACTAGCTTTTAAGTGAATTAGAAGATTGGATTGTTGTTCAAGAGGTGCAGCAGAAAGATATTTTGATGAACTCAGAATTATTTAGAATAAAAGCAGTAAAATTAACGAATACCTCTAATTACCCAACAGATCCATATTTTTCAAAGGTGTGCAGGGTTCTGATCACCGACTGTGGATCTTATCCTACAATTTTATGTAGTCATGACATAAACACTTGAAAATGACAAACACGTGTTTACTTCATTAAGTGAATTTAGTAAACACAGTCTAAATGTATTATATTTGGGAGGTAAAAGACCAGTTTAATTACAACCCATGTGTTTGTTGCCTTCTTTTTGAGATATAGTAGTCATACTTGAGCTCAGGTTGGGTTTCTTGTAACAAAATGATGGTATTTTCTCTTGTAATGGGGATGTCATGGGACATTCTCTAAACATGTAACCTTAAGCTTCTCATGACAAGGCTGTGTCACAAGCTTTAAAATCATTTGGGTCCAAGCTGAGGCCTTGTGGATGGACAAACTAGAGCTGAAGGAGCAACCTTTGTCCAGGCTCAAGGGTTACTGAAATAAAAGTTTCATCAATTTAAGGGTTCTTACACAAAAACCAAGACACATTTTGAATAATCTGAAAGAAAATGTTTACTGAGCCTAAAAAGATTATATACTGTATTTATCTTGTCAATACAAGATATGATCAATATAAGAGTACTTTTTTTACTTACCAAGATAAGATTGCTATAGTGGGGTTGTGTGGATTTCTATTTTAACTTTTCAGGCCAAAGGAAATGACATGAAACTTGTCAATTAGATGCAAATTTCTGGGGCCTTTCCTACTCCTACAATGGAAAATGTAGCATGTTGTATGAAAGGCTCTAGAGGGCACTCTTGAGGAAATAAAAAGGGAAATTGTCCACATTAAGACAAGGGCCACATGCTTCTTCTTATTCTATTACAGGAATATACCCCACCGGCAAACGCAGCTGGGCTTGAGGGAACATGGAGGGTGTCGTCGGCGACAGATTTGCTTCAAGTCCATGTCAACTTCCTGCGAGGCAAAGTGCGCCTCCTTCTTTTGGATGCACAGGCTTGTCAGCAAGATGTCAGCTGATCTCCCGACTCCAGGGCGAAGCTTGTGTTTCCGAAGGCAAGAGGAGGGACTTGACACTGCTGACCTGCACGCTGGCTGCTGGAAGCGGTGTGGAGAGAGAGAAAGATACAGCCGTCCTCACATAAGGGGAGGAAGCTGAAAGGAAAGGACAGTCCCAGCGAGGCTTTGGATGGACAGGAGATGATTGCACCTTGGAATGTAGATGTGAAACATAGTGAAGCACACAACTGACCAAAATGAGATCTTTGGGAAGCTCTGCTCCAATAGCTGTTCTACTGGCACTCTCTTGCACTTTGTGTGTGGATGTACTTTTGCGTGTGTGAGTTAAGACTGCAAGTTTAAATCTGTACGTAGTGTGTATGTGTTGTTTGCTGTTTCCAGTGAGTTTGACCCTGACACTCATCTCTTTAGAATGAACTGTGGAGTAAAACACCCAGAAAATATGACTGCACCTGGAAATTGGGGGACAGAGCATCCAGTTCCAATACCACTGCAAAAAGGCAGAAATGAATGAGGCCTCACCCCACAAGCCTTTAACATTTTCAGCTGTGCCTCACTGAAACATTAGTCTCTTCTCTAGGATTTTTTCAAATTAATATTTTAATATATTTTTAAAAGTTGTGTGATTACTATTTATACAGATGAGATTTTCTACTTTTAAGCTCCACTCTTTGTATTTTGTAGTGTTGAACTTTAAGATTTTGGTTGGGCTCTCTTTGCCATGCTCTCATGTAACACTGAAGAAATTTGCAATGGCACGCTGCTGTCTGCCTTTTTTATAAAGACTTTATGTACCCGACTAGGGGTTAGTTTCACATCGCATGTTCCTTTCAAATGACAGAATTAAGGACTACAAAGTTGATCCAGAGGTTTAGTTACAGTGAACAAGAGTTCGGTGAGGAGGGCAGAGGGTCACACGTGAAGCTGTTTTGTTACCATCTGTATTTTTGTTGCTGCCTAACACTCACTCAGTCTTCACACGCTGATAGCCAGACTGTCTGGGAAAATGCTGTTTGGCTTTTACAATTAACATCCTTTGAGGCTTTAATTGCAAAAGCTTTTCCAGAGTCTGACGCTAACACTGTCTCTTCCCCTCACTATTGTTCGTCATCAGCAGTAGACAGGCAATCAGTTAGTCCTGGGAACTTCAGGCTTTCTGTAAAATGGATGCTCAACTATTTCAGGCTAGTTAAGTGTTCTTCCTTGTTTTTTCCCGTATTTTTCAATCTTGTTGTGCAAGTGCAAGATGTTTTTAAGGATGTTTGTACATGTTTTCTTTCCTGTTATTTTTTTGTTTTTTTGTCCAGTCACTGTATAATTTGCTATTTAAATACAAAATATTATTCTCGGATAAAGAAAGGATAGACTGAAACACAACAAGGGGAAGTCTGTCCATTTCATTCATTACCTTTTGTCTTGTTCATGTCAGTGGAGTTAACAAGCTTCTGCTGTTCAGACGCTGAATACAAGCTGCTATCACACACCTCACTGGTCTCAAACGAGTCGTTCATTCCTCCTGTGACAGTTAGATACATTCCAGCTCAATTTATTTTGTCAAGAAATCAAATACAGTGTCTTAATGAAACGTGTTTTCATATTCATTTTGAACATGAACAGTTGAGCAGCACAACGATCTGAATCCAAATTTAAAGACTACTGCCCTCTAGTGGACATTTATCACAACAACACCTGTTCCATATTATTTGTATGTTTAAAAACATACAGACAAAAAACTGTAAACACTTGTACAGACTCTTAGGCCTTAAAATAAAAGACACTTACATTAATTTACATTTGGCACAGCTATGTCTACAAGTACTAAATTACACTGAGGTTTCACTCGGCAAACAACACTGATGTTGCTTCAAGACATGCAAAGTGAAAAACAGAACAACAGCAGCGATTTGCAAGTGACAACACACATGACAAAAGACCATAATATTTAATCAACTAAAGATGTCATGACTCAGTTTACTGATAAACGTCCTGTATGTTGTCTGCTCCATTCTGCAGTCTGCTGCTGCTGTCATCACATGTCCACCAGACCACAAGGTTATATTGGTCTACTGGCTTCTGAGGGCATAACTATGACTTGAAGACAAATAGAGAACCTATACACGACACGTCTTTTCAGGTCACTGAGGGTCAGGGTAGAAAACCTTAATATGAATGGCAGAGTTGTTACGAGTGCGCGTCATGGGCTCCCCGGCCTCATCAGGATCTTCAGGCTCCAGGTCGTCTACGAGCTCCACCGTGGAGGTGTTGGCTGCCAGCTGCAGCACCCCCTGGCTGCTGGCCTGCAGCTGAAGGGCGATGTTGATTGCCCTGTTGATGGCCAGGCCCAGGCCATGGACGCAGATCTCCCTGTGACCCCCGCCTTCCAGCAGCTTCTGGCAGCGTGCCAGCTGAGCCCGGAAATCAGTCTTCATGTTGACGTAGACGTCGTTCCGTCTCTTTGGGAGTTTCCGGGGGAGGCGCTTCCTAAGGGTGTACTCCACTGGGTCCATCTCTACAGCCGGAGAGGCGGAGTCGGTGTGCACAGGGGCTGTCTGGGGGACAGAGGACATTCCTGGGCTGCGTGGCTCTGTCATGTTGCTCAGTGGATATATGTGCCACGGCAGAGGCTGGGGCCAAAGAAGGAAGCTAAGAAATAAAGTTAGAAAAAAAAGGTGATGAAGTGCGGTCATGAGACATGATACCTTCCAGCAAACATAAAAACATCCTATCCAGGCAGCAACTAACAATTATTTTCATTATTTCTTAATCTGCTGATTACGTTTTCGATTAATTGTTTTGTTTATAAAATGTAAACAAAGAGAAACACAGTCCCATCACAATTTCCCAAATATCCCTACCGTTACATTAATGTTAAGGACACCCGCAGCAGCAAGTGGTAACATACAACGACAAGGACACTAAGTTACTACTAGCAACAGAAAATACTAGTCAGTCATTATCCCCATTCAACACAATTCCCAGGTAATCCCCTAGGGCAAAAAAATCAAAACGTCCTTTTTTGCTTATTATCCAGCAGCAGGTTGCATCTTCAAGTGATCTCACAGATGTTTCCTGTCTTAAATGTCTACCCAGAGCAAACCAACGTTCAAATCCAACATAAACTGTAAGGTAATGCACCTGAATCTAACGTGCGTGTGAGCTAAGCTAGTAACGTTAGCCGTGTCATTTACGTTGAAGAGTTAACACTTTGAGTAGTCCATCCGTATAATGAGCACACTTACCCTCAGCAGATAATTTCAAGTAACAAATTCGCTTTATCTAACGGCCGAGGTACATGCATTTCTTTCACAGCCAAACTAGCTGTTTATTTCCCGTGTGACCCGGAAGTAGTATGACAGGAGAAACACTGGCCCAATCCCAATGTCCCCCCTCACAGACTCACAGACTTTGAGGCGCGTTCCCGGGAAGTCCGTGAGGGCTTAGGGCTGTCCTACTGTCAAATGGTCAAGTGCGCGAGGGCTCTCTCACAGACATTTTGAGCCCTTTATAGACCCTTTTTGTAAGTCCGCATTTCTGCAGACTTTGGCTGAGGGAATTGCCCACAGTTCATAGCGGTATGACGTGAAACACGGGGGTTACCAGGGGCTGAGTTCAGCGTAGACAAAACGTAGCAAAACGTTTTCTTCAACAGAAATGGTGGTTCCTTGAACACCCTGCTGTGTACGCAAGCGCATTGCATTTTCCTGCCTTTTTAACGCCGTTGTGTTTACAAACTTGTCGCCACTGATTGGGTACCTTCAGAGACACGCCCACCAAACGGGAGAAAACATACCTCGAAACCCGTTGCACAACGATGCACAACGATGCACAACGTTGCAAGGAAACATGTCGTTCAATCAGCAAACGTTGCAAACCGGTGCAAAACGTTTTGAGATTGAACTCGCCCCAGGGGAAGCCCGGAAGTGAGAGAAATATCACGGCAAATCCGCGTTATAAGAGAAGAAGAAAACAGTAAACAAACAAGCATCAACACCAACGCTGATGTTAATGTTGTTGAAAGTTTTCTTAACTTAAGATGCTGCATAGAACACATGAAGTCAGAGGAATGCAATCACCTTATTACACATTTGTTTATTCAACTATTTATTTTAGTTTTTGTTTAATGATGTTGTTTTGACCAGCAATAGTGTATTGATTAATTACAAATAGGCCTATATATTGACATTGAGGCTACTTCTCCTCCACTCTGTAGGTCGAGAACCTGCAAACCTGCAAAAACATAAAATAAAAAGTGTGCAATGTGTTTCAGCGTCGTCAAGGTAACGTGATAAAGTGGCAAAGTGCTGTCCTTTTCCTGTTCACAGCATTTTGAGCCCTCGCAGCCTCTTGCACGCAATCACTTTCCAAGTGACGTCAGTAAAGTCTGTGAGGGTTCAGGGCTTAGGGTTTAGGGGGGACATTGGGACTGGGCCAATGCCTCGGTCATGAAACTACGGGCCTTTCTGTAACTGCTTGCTACTCCCTCTCCCTAAACCAACGAGGGCGACTTTGCAGGTTAATATGTAGGAATAAATCCCGAAACAACACATTTCATATCACCATCCAGAGGTTAACAACATAGCCCAAAGGTTATATTATGTTTAATAAAAATGCTCTTGTCTGATAGACAATAGCCTACAATTGTTTTTATTGAATTATTCATCTTACACGAAAATCTTAAGCCAAAACCAAATATCCTTCATTAAACAACATCAACATGGCACAATAAAGTTATAGCGGATCATGTAACAAGCAACAAAGGTATTGCAAGAATAGTTACGGCTTGATAGGCTACATATTAACCGTTTTAAATACTTCAGACTATATAATGCTTCAATATAATATAATAGAAATGTTTATTTAGAAATGTGTGAATGTAATATTTTTCAAATAAGATAAAGAAGTTCAAATATATAGGCTTTTCTTTTATAATTAATATCAATCTTTTCATTAAAGAATATATTTCTTCTTCTCTTCGTAAATATCTAAAGTCATGGTCTTATATAGTCTATTCAAAATAATTTGGTTCATAAACAAAACCAATATATGACAAATGCTTTCAGTTTCATTTTTGCAAAAAACACAGTTTTCCTCAACATCACTCCTGAATCTTAATACAACTGTTGTTTATTTGATACACATATTATAGCAGTGAGTGCAGCTGGTATGGGGTAGTTCTTCCGAAAGGTGGCCGCTGTATTTATAGCCTACGCGGGTTAGAGCTAGATTTGTCTATGAGGGTGGGCCTTTCCGAAACTAGACCCTCGCCACTTCCACTCCGACAAATAGGATCTGACGTTACCGCTGAAGCCTAGGCCTACTCACTGCAAGAATATGTGTACCAAATAAACAACAGTTGTATTAAGATTCAGATTAATTGATGTTGAGGAAATGTGTTTTTTACAATAACAAAACTGGACACTAGTGATGGCAAGTTTGAGAGACTCTTTGAGACTCGTTCATTCAAATCTCGTTCATTAAAATCAACTAATCTGTCATTTCGTTCATTTGAACTAGGCTGGTTATTGTGGCGCTGCAGCCCTCTAGTGGGCGATTAAAAAATAGCGCCATTCTCAAACACGGAAGGCTGCCTGGCTTGTGCAAGTATAATGCACAAATTCACCTCTTGATTACTGTATATCATCATTATATAAACCCCCCTGAGCCCACAACCAAATTCAAACCATGCAAAAACCACAGAAATATGTTGTCAATATGTAATCACCACTACTCCGGCTAAATCCTTCCATTTTCACAATCTTTCCCGAGTATACAACCAGACCAGCCATATAAAGGCTGATGTATATAATTATCTCTGAAGTGCTCATTCATACAGTAGCCTAACGTCCCTATCCATGAGTAAAATATTAATATCAGATTTGCAGTAAATATATAAGCTTGATACACTATATAAATAAACACACGCGTATTAAAATTCAACCAGTTTAATAATAATCTGGGCCACCAAGTTCTTAAAGAACTCCAGCACAGAGAGAGGAACAGAGAAATAAACACATATAAACGCAGCAGTTTGGCAGGTCTGGACGCAGAGTGGGCCACATCAGGTCCAGATTCTGCAGACAGAGAAACACACATGAGCACATCGCTCTCAAACACTGCAGGTTGTTCACCAGTCACGAGCTGTGAAACAACAGCACGGCTCTGTTGGTAAATAAAAAGGAAAAGTTACGTTGCTTTCTCTGGCGGACCAGATCAGCGGTTAGCTGTTTACAGGGCTAACGCTAAAGTTGCTACGTGGCTGTGTTTTAATGTTTTAATGACCGGGTCTGTTTGTTTTGGAGAGGAGACGACCTCGGAGGTAATTTAGCTCCAGGTAGAACCTGTCAGGGCTCTGAAGTGGAGCGGACCCAGAACAACTCTCATCAGCTGTTAGTTGTAATGTTAAACAC